CGTTAATACTTTTATTTAGCAAGGATACATTAAATTGATCAAAAGTGACGGTTACAACAATTATAATGTTACAAAAGATTTTTATTTCAAATAAATGCTGTTCTTTTGAACTTTCTTTTCATCAAAGGATACTGACATTACTATTTTTACTGTATTTGTCATCAAATAAATGCAGCCTTGGTGAGCAGAAGATACTTCTTTCTAGAACAAAAAAAATGCTTCTATATACACACACACACACACACACACACACACGCATATATATATTGTGTATATATATATAAAATATTGCATATGTGTGTGTGTGTGTGTGTGTATATACAGTATATTAGATGTGTGTGTGTATATACACACTCACATATATATATATATATAGAGAGAGAGAGAGAGAGAGAGAGAGATGTATATTGAGCACTTTTTGAATACTATTTCATAAATCTCAGGTGTTACCCAAGTATAAGCACTGTTTTTTTTTTCATTTAACTTCTCAGTTCTGACAGTCTTCAGCTCTCCTGTGGCATTATGGGATATCAGCAGGTCCAGTGGTTGCAGCTGCTGCAGTTTCTATTTTCACCGTTCTCTGTAGTGTGTGTGTGTGTTTATAGTAAACTGTTGTGCAGATGTGTGTCAGTTGGAGCCGGTGGATGAAATCTGGCCTCACAGGTTGGTTCAGGTGTTACACAACACTGATCCTGACGGCCGCACCCATCCTGTCCTCTGATCTCAGAATAACTAAATCAACAGCTCTCAGGCCATCAGCGCTGATGATCCAGCATTAGTGACCCTCCTGGCGTCTGCGGGTTTGACTCATTTTAACAAGTCCCATTTTAATGACTTTGATTAACGATTCAGCCCAACCTTTAGACAGTTGTAATCTATCACAGGTGGAAGTGTGTGTGTGTGTGTGTGTGTGCGTGTGTGTGTGAGCGTGTGCGTGTGCGTGTGCGTGTGCGCGTGCGTGTGTGTACGTGTGTGTGCGTGTGTGAGCGTGTGTGTGTGTGTGTGAGAGAGACTAATCAGCAGCGTCTCTGTGTGACCTTTAGTGATCCATTTACAGTGTGAACTTTCACCGACTCATCAAACACACAGTGTGTATATATAAATAATCTAAAAATATGATTTAAGAAACCAATAATTTAAAAAGGTAATTGATATTAATAATTTAATAATAGTCAGCTGTTACTGTATGATATAATTTAAGACATTTATTTTTGCCAAGTAATTATTCAAGTTAATATTCATTATATTAAACAAAATTATAAGAAATAAATTACAAGCAACAGAACTAATTAAATAAACCATAGAACAAAGATGCAATTGAAGTACTGTACTTGAAGTGTTTTACAGTAGATTTAACAACAGTATCAAGTAAATAATGTAAAAGTAATTAAATGGGAAGAAAACACACACACACACACACACATGCATACATACATACATATATAAAGATCAATAAGATGTTTTATATTTTTGAAAGAAGCCCCTTATGTATGAAAGCCCATTTCTGCCGCAGATTAAAAATAAAAATTATAATTGCGACATTTTATCTCACAATTCAGACTTTTTTTCTTTGGTTTATATCTTTTATTTTATTTTTTTAGGTACTTTTTCATTTTATTTTTATCCTGAGAAATCAACCTTTCATACTTATGCTCACCAAGGGTGCATTTATTTAATCAAAAACACTGTAGTTATGTGAAATATTACCATTTAAAATAGCTGTTAGTGCTGTAGATGTATACTTCAGTATGGACTTATGGAGTATTGACGGCATCAGTGCTGGTGCGTCTGACATCCCTCGTTAGGAGTGTCTGGTTGAATTAGTTGTGGCTATTGTAAGTCTGAGCTGTTTCTGGCTCTTTTGTTCACTTCCTGTTTCATTGGGCGGCTCAGATCTGCAGCTTTACTAATGAAGATGTGAATATACAGTGACAGGCCAAATTGCTCTTCGCTGCAGTTGAAAGGAGACACGGATCAGGAAGGAAAGGCGTGTGTGTGTGTGTGTGTGTGTGTGTGTGTATGGTTCAGAATTCCCCAAACGTCCCTCCTTCACACCAGGTTCTTCCTGCTCTTGTACCTATTTCCATACGATCGTAAGAAAAGAACAGTAAGTGAATTTGAGAGCAGCTCATCCTGTTATGTTCTCTCTCTGTGTCTAAATGAAATCTCAGTGCTTTTGTTCTTTAATGCAGAGCGTCGCATTGGTTTCACTTGTGTGTCTTGTAGCCAGTGCTGAGAGACTAAATGTGGATATTTTGAGTGTTAATAATATATTTAGCTTTCTGTGTGTGTCTGTGTGTGTGTGTGTGTGTGTGTGTGTGTGTGTGTGTGTGTGTACTTACAGCTCAGAATTCCCCAAACATCTCTCCTTCACACCAGGTTTTTCCTGCTCTTGTACCTATTTCCATGCGGTCGAAAGAAAAGAACAGTAAGTGAATTTGAGAGCAGCTCATCCTGTTATATCCTCTCTCTCTCTTTCTCTGTCTAAATGAAATCTCAGTGCTTTTGTTCTGTAATGCAGTGCGTTGGCATTGATTTCACTCGTGCGTCCTTTAGCCAGTGCTGAGAGACTAAACATGGATATTTTGAGCGTTAATAATATATATTGCTTAATAATATATTATAATCTTAATTAATATTTGTAAATTATAATATACTTTTTAGATTTGTTTAGTTTGTTGTTTACTAAAAAACATTTTTATTTTTTTAAATTTCATTGTTTAATGTCATCCACCTGTTTTTTACCTATTATATAAAAAGCGGTTAATTTAATAATTTATTTTAAATTAAATTTGACATGTTTTCATATAGGTTTTCAGATATGTACATGTTGCACTTTATAGCAAACAATAATGGGATTATTAATTTATAAATATTTTAAATAGATATTTATTGTTAATATATTTAAATACATATTTTGCTAAATGCATATTTAGAAGTAGTTCATTTTAATTTAATCTAACTTTGACTCATGTTTTCATGCATAGTTTCTCCTAAAGGGTCATAAAACAGTAAACCACATTGTTTATCACATTGTTAATAGATAAGCACATGTTGCACTTTATGCAAACAGTACGTATTTACTAGCATGTGTCACTTAAATGTTACGATTACATAATTTAATTCAGTCATTAATGTGCAGATGATCGTTAATGTTAAGGGTGTTGGCGTAAAAATCTTCTCCTTTGGCTTTGTCGCCTCTCAAAGTTTATGTTCAGATGGGTCAGGATATTTTTTTTGGCTATAGCACCAACGACGCTGCATTACTCTGATTTGACATCAAGGGTTCATCCAGTACATCTACAAACACGACACACTTACTGAGAGCCAAACCCAGCCCCTGTCCCGGGCCCCGTCTCTCTTATGTCCCATCTGCCCCTTGGGGATGGACGTGAGCCAATCACAAGCTAAGTATGTCCCCCCCAAAAAGATCCAAGCAGCCACGAGCTCAGTTGACTCACTGGTGAGAAAGAATGACTCCAGACAAATGACTTAAAATACTTTGGCAGACTAGCAGTAATGCTGTGTGTATATATATATATATATATATTTTAATGTACTGAACTACATTAAACCAGAGACCTGAAGAGCCCATACAGGACTGTCTGTCTCTACCAAAACCTAGTGAACATCCTCACTAAGCAGAATTTTAAGTGCACTACTAAGGCAGCTCAGCGGGTTTTGGAACAGAGCCGTATGTGTTGTGCATGCGAGTGTAAATGAGTCGACTTGAGCTTTTTGTCAGCTCTATTGATGAAAAGAAAGTGAAAGCCCATCAATGCTTTACCCGTTTATAGACCCGCGTGTGTGTGTGTGAGAGAGACTGCACACGTCCCGTCGTCCATCAATGTCTGTGTTTTATCCACTTAGGGATTTTAGATGCAAAGAGTACCGATTGAATGCGTTTAAAAATAGAAAATAGATAAATGGAGGAAAAAAGTTTATTTTCTTATTATTAGTTGACAGATTTTGTGATTCAGAATTTCTGCCCATCAAAAATAAAATACTAGTAATTAATTTTGATTATGCATTTTCAGTTGTGGAAGTAATTTCACCTTTAGCCGTGCTTTTCTGTTGCCATGGTGACACGGTGAGGATGGTTGTGTTAAATGAGGGAAATGCTGCAATCATGATAATGGTTTTTGTAATTGCTATCCACCGTATGGGAATAGAATACAATAATTTCTTGTTTTCTCAAAAATGACTAGTTTAGCAACATTATTGTTCTTGTAATTATAGTGGAGAGAAGATCCAAGTCATTAGTTTTAGGGACATTTATATAATTAGTCTCTAAAACTAAAGCAAGAGTCATTTTTATTTTTTTATATATATATATATATATATATATATATATATATATATGCTAAATAAATATATAAATTTCTTAAGTAAATAAATAAATAAATAATATTTGATCATATTTAGTTCATATTTAGTTCATATGTATAGCATTAAAAAATGTGTATAATATTTATAAAATAAATATAAATATAAATATTTAATATGAATATTAAAAAAATATTTTTTATTTATTTCAAATATATACTTTTATTCAGAAAACGTGACAGTAAAGACATTTATAATGTTTCAGCAGATTTCTATTGAATTTTTCATTCATCAAATCAGCATATTAGAATGATTTCTGAAGGATCATGTGACACTGAAGACTGGCGTAATGATGCTGAAAATACAGCTGCGCATAACAGGAATAAATTATATTTTAAAATATATTCACATAGAAAACAGTTATTTGAAATTGTAATAATATTTCCCAGTATTACTGTTTTTATTGTATTTTTAAGCAAATAAATGCAGTTTTGGTAATAAGCGAAAAAACCTTAGTGTTCCTCGTGTCACATTTGACCTAAAATCTATTAGCAGCAATAATGCATCAAACAGCGTTCTTCTTATGATCTCAGACAGCTGTCAGTCTCGTCGTCCGTTTCAGAAGACACTGAAAGGTCACTGTTTTCAAACCTTTTCTGTTCTGGTCCTTGCAGAAGCTGGCAGCCGAGTGTCAGAGCGCGGGATACAGCGGCACTCTGATCCCGTATAAGTGTGATCTGTGCAACGAGGAAGAGATTCTGTCCATGTTTTCAGCCATTAAGACGTTGCATCAGGGAGTGGACGTGTGCATCAACAACGCCGGCCTGGCTCACAATGAGCCGCTGCTGAGCGGAAGGACAGAGGGCTGGAGGAATATGATCGATGTAAGTTAAAAACACACACATCATTACTTTTGCTGTCTATATAGGCAGCATCCCGACTGACTGATCTGTGTGTCATATACTCGCACAAAAGTCACAGGTGACTTGCAATGCAGAGTTGCTATCCTAATATTGCTGCTTACTTTTTCGAGCAGTCATTGCATCGCCTACGTTTTAAAACAGCCATGGAGGGGTCACACTTTTATCCATAATTTTTGCATTTTTAATTTGCACTCACCTCTTCAACTCGCTTTTTTCAACACTTCATCAAGTGCAGTTAAATGAAGCGCTGTAGGCACTCAAACAGCACGTCATTTATTTGTTTACTGCAGTTCTGCTCTCACTCGAGTCAAAACCACTTTCCCTAACTGAACAGCAACTTAAGCTGCAGCAGCTGTTACCCGTGCAGTGTGGGTCTGCAATGCCAAGCTCATGGGTTCGATTCCTAGGGAATGCATGAAGTGATAAAGTGTAAAAATATAAGTCGTCTTGTCTGTCAAATGCATGAATGTAAATGTTGATGCACCAACTAACAGTTGCATTGCATTCTGAGTGAGTTTGATTCTTGCACTGATATCTGGAACCTTCATTCATAGAAAAAATAATAATTTATATTTTAAATTGTATTTGCTCTGCATTGCTTTTACTTGCATTTACATTGCTTTTACTTCTATTCAAGGTACACATTTTATCAGTTCATGCATTCCCTGGGATTCGAACCCAGGGCCTTTGCGTTGATAGCCTCATGCATTACTGCGTCAGCGCTGACTGATCTGTGTGTCATATACTCGCACAAAAGTCACAGGTGACTTGCAATGCAGAGTTGCTATCCTAATATTGCTGCCTACTTTTTCGAGCAGTCATTGCATCGCCTACGTTTTAAAACAGCCATGGAGGGGTCACACTTTTATCCATCATTTTTGCATTTTTAATTTGCACTCACCTCTTCAACTCGCTTTTTTCAACACTTCATCAAGTGCAGTTAAATGAAGCGCTGTAGGCACTCAAACAGCACGTCATTTTTTTGTTTACTGCAGTTCTGCTCTCACTCGAGTCAAAACCACTTTCCCTAACTGAACAGCAACTTAAGCTGCAGCAGCTGTTACCCGTGCAGTGTGGGTCTGCAATGCCAAGCTCATGGGTTCGATTCCTAGGGAATCCATGAAGTGATAAAGTGTAAAAATATAAGTCGTCTTGTCTGTCAAATGCATGAATGTAAATGTTGATGCACCAACTAACAGTTGCATTGCATTCTGAGTGAGTTTGATTCTTGCACTGATATCTGGAACCTTCATTCATAGAAAAAATAATAATTTATATTTTAAATTGTATTTGCTCTGCATTGCTTTTACTTGCATTTACATTGCTTTTACTTCTATTCAAGGTACACGTTTTATCAGTTCATGCATTCCCTGGGATTCGAACCCAGGGCCTTTGCGTTGATAGCCTCATGCATTACTGCGTCAGCTACAGGAATGATTTTGTGATCAGATATGACCTAGACATTATCTGGATCTTTATCATCCATTCATTCACCATCTGTGTTCCTGTGCAGGTCAACATACTTGCTCTGGCCATCTGCACGCGTGAGGCCTACCAGTCCATGAAGGAGAGACACGTGGATGACGGACACATCATCAACATCAACAGGTACTGCGCTTTACTGTGTGTTTGAGGCGTTTAACAGCAGAGATGTGCTGCTGAACACACTCATCCGAGGCTGTTCTCTCGGCAGTATGGGGGGTCACAGGATGGTGCCCAGCGCTGATGAACACTTCTACTGCGCCACGAAATATGCTGTGACCGCTATGACAGAGGGACTGAGACAGGAGCTACGGGAGGCCAAAACACACATCCGAGCCACGGTGAGCCCACACACACACACACACTTATTAAAGTTAACTAAAACCATAAAAATGTAGTTACTTGAAATAAAATAAACCTTATCTAAAATAAAATATAAACAAAACTAAAAACGTATTTTATTTCAGCTAGTTGCCAAGGCAACATTTCTCATTTTCATTTATTATGATGTACTAAAATAACTAAAACTGAAATAAAAATAATGAATTACTAAAAGAAGAACTACTAAAACTTTAACTAAAATTAAAATGAAAACAGAAAAATAAAAATAAAAGCCAATTCAAAATATTTATAAAAACTACAATAGTATCTCAAGGATCCTAAAATAAGAGTAGTATTTATAACTAGGCTTGCAGCGAGAGACGGTGCTGATGGTGATACCGGTGTTAAGCCGCAACCCACCGCGGCACTGACCCCCACCGTCGTTTAGATTTTTTTGTAGTAATAAAAATCATTTAGTTCAGTAAAAAAACAGACACTACAATTAAAAACTGAACGCGGCTGCTCAATGCAGCGTGCCGAACGACAGTCGCATCTCAGATCGAATTTAATTTCTCCAGTGAGGAGAGTGAGTCCAGCTGACTGATGAGAAGAGTGAGGAGACACAGACGAGACGATCGCGGATGATTTGGTTCCAAAACGAGATGCAAAAGCGCCTGTTTGACAATATTTTGGATTTTGAAAAGCCTGTTGACTTGCCGTTTATCTAAGGAGATTTTGGAAGATTTTTTAAACATTTGTTTCTTATTTAATTGGTTCCACAGTGTTTGCTGATTTTTACTTTATTTAAACTTTGTCATTTATTTATTTATTTTTTACATCAAGGTGTACGCCGTGCTTCCAAGCTTTCTTACTAATTTTGCTAATAAACGTTGTACGTTTCTTTTTTATTTGGTTATATATTATACATGTTTACCTATTTCCAGTTTTGTATGCCTATTTAAACTTTGTTATTTATGTAAGTTATTTGTTATTTTATATTAGGCATAGCCTGCCCTATAGCATGGTGTATTTTTATTTGTTTTGTTAATAAAAGTTCTGTTTTATATATACGCTAAAGTGAGTTTGACGTTGTATTTGGTTGTTGCATTCAAGCAATTGACGCCGAACTGCCGCTAATTTGATTTTAAAGCTATTTAAAAGCGAAGGAAAGCGAGGAAAAGAGGGAACGCCCCGCCCCGCGGTGATACGGTATTACCGGTGTTGTCACACGTCGATTAACCGGTGTGAAAATGTCCTCAACGTCACAACCCTATTTATAACCTAGATCAGGGATTCCCAAACTAGGGTTCATGAGTTGATGGAAAGCTAATAATTAATTAAATAAAAAAATGAAAACAAAACACTTAATACATTTAAACTAAAACGCTTATTTAAAAAAGTTGTTTACATGCATGACATTCATTAATTAATTAATATTATGTCAAATGGTTTCAGATGACAAAAAAACGTAAACCCCTAAGAATAAAATAAATACAAATTAAAAACCAAGAATAAAATAAATAAAATTTAGGTCAAAATGTTTCAAAATAGTTTGTGATCCCCATCACCAGATAACTGGTAGTTTTAACATTACATTTCAGCTGACGAAAAGCTTTGCAAAAAATATTTGAGATTTGAATAACATTTTGTTCCACCTCTGAAATGATTAGTTATCTTAACCAATAGTCAAATAGTTTAGTCAATGCTGAAGTTTAAGCTGCTGTTGTAGATAATGCAGCCTTTCTGAAATCTTACCAACAGCTGACAATTAATTTAATTAATTTAGTAATTGAATGCCATTTCATGTAATAAAAGTTACAGCAATAATAGCAAATAACAATAGATTTGAAAAGGATAATGGCTGTTCCAGGTATTCAGCATCGTTGTATTTATTAACCTACCAGTTTTCCTTTTTCCTAGTGTATATCACCTGGAATAGTGGAAACTGAATTTGCCTTCCGGCATCACAACAGTGATCCAGAGAGAGCCGCGGCTGTTTATGAAAGTATAAAGGTAAACAGATGGCGTGTGTGACGTGTCTACATACGAGTCCTGCTGTTTAACTGCATCATTAACTGTCTTCTGCAGTGTTTGAAAGCAGAAGACATCGCCAGTGCCGTCACATACGTCCTGAGCGCGCCTGCTCATGTTCAGGTGAGACCAAAATAAACACATACACTACCAGTAAGACACGTTTCTTGAGCAAATCAGCATATTAGAATGATTTCTGAAGGATCGTGTGACACTGAAGACTGGAGGAATGATGCTGAAAATACAGATTTGATCACAGAAATAAATTACATTTGAACATATATTAAAGTAGAAAACACTTATTTTAACTTGGAATAATATGTTGTTGAATTGCATTTGCAAATTGTGGATCCATGATTTGTCTGGGTGTTTTTTGGGACAGAAGCTCTTGATTCCTTTTTTATTTTATAACAATAATCAAGTTCAAATTCATTTATCAGGTTAATAAATCCAACTTTCTCTTCAAAACCTGAAAAATGTCAATATCAATCATTTATTAAATAGCAAACATGTCAAACAAGTATAATTCACACCAGCACATTGTTTATTTTGTACCAAAACCATGTGTAGTTTGAAATGTTTTCAGACGGACAGAACAGCTTTAACTTTAAAGGAATAGTTCATCCAAACATTTTAATTAGCTGAAAATGTGCTCACCCATTAGGCCATACAAGATTAGGATGAGTTTGTTTCTTCATCAGATTTGGAGAAATGTAGCATTTGCTCAGCAACGGATGCTCTGCAGTGAATGGGTGCCGTCAGAATGAGAGTCCAAACAGCTGATAAAAACATCACAATAATCCACAAATAATCCACACCAATCAGTTAACATCTGGAGAAGACAAAAGCTGCGTGTTTGAGAGAAACAAATCTATCATTAAGGCATTTTTAGCTTTAAACCATAGTTTCTGGCTAAAATATGAGTCCATAATCCATAATCCAGCGTTTCCTCCAGTGAAACAGTCCATCCTCTGTTGTCTCTCACATCAAAAGTCATCCACAGATTTGTTTAGAGCTGTTTTCGCTTGTAAACGGTGCTTGATCTGTGCAGATTTCTCTCCTGATTCAGACCAGACCCCTTTTTCACTGGAGGAAGCATTATTATGGATTATAGACTCGTATTTTAGCTGGAAATTTAAGTTAAAAATGCCTTAATGATAGATTTGTTTGTTACAAACACAGCTTTTGGCTTCTCAAGATGCTAACTGATGGACTGGAGTGCTGTGGATTACTTGTGGATTAAGGATAATGGCTGTTCCAGGTATTCAGCATCGTTGTATTTATTAACCTACCAGTTTTCCTTTTTCCTAGTGTATATCACCTGGAATAGTGGAAACTGAATTTGCCTTCCGGCATCACAACAGTGATCCAGAGAGAGCCGCGGCTGTTTATGAAAGTATAAAGGTAAACAGATGGCGTGTGTGACGTGTCTACATACGAGTCCTGCTGTTTAACTGCATCATTAACTGTCTTCTGCAGTGTTTGAAAGCAGAAGACATCGCCAGTGCCGTCACATACGTCCTGAGCGCGCCTGCTCATGTTCAGGTGAGACCAAAATAAACACATACACTACCAGTAAGACACGTTTCTTGAGCAAATCAGCATATTAGAATGATTTCTGAAGGATCGTGTGACACTGAAGACTGGAGGAATGATGCTGAATATTCAGCTTTGATCACAGAAATAAATTACATTTGAACATATATTAAAGTAGAAAACACTTATTTTAACTTGGAATAATATGTTGTTGAATTGCATTTGCAAATTGTGGATCCATGATTTGTCTGGGTGTTTTTTGGGACAGAAGCTCTTGATTCCTTTTTTATTTTATAACAATAATCAAGTTCAAATTCATTTATCAGGTTAATAAATCCAACTTTCTCTTCAAAACCTGAAAAATGTCAATATCAATCATTTATTAAATAGCAAACATGTCAAACAAGTATAATTCACACCAGCACATTGTTTATTTTGTACCAAAACCATGTGTAGTTTGAAATGTTTTCAGACGGACAGAACAGCTTTAACTTTAAAGGAATAGTTCATCCAAACATTTTAATTAGCTGAAAATGTGCTCACCCATTAGGCCATACAAGATTAGGATGAGTTTGTTTCTTCATCAGATTTGGAGAAATGTAGCATTTGCTCAGCAACGGATGCTCTGCAGTGAATGGGTGCCGTCAGAATGAGAGTCCAAACAGCTGATAAAAACATCACAATAATCCACAAATAATCCACACCAATCAGTTAACATCTGGAGAAGACAAAAGCTGCGTGTTTGAGAGAAACAAATCTATCATTAAGGCATTTTTAGCTTTAAACCATAGTTTCTGGCTAAAATATGAGTCCATAATCCATAATCCAGCGTTTCCTCCAGTGAAACAGTCCATCCTCTGTTGTCTCTCACATCAAAAGTCATCCACAGATTTGTTTAGAGCTGTTTTGGCTTGTAAACGGTGCTTGATCTGTGCCGATTTCTCTCCTGATTCACACAAGACCCCTTTTTCACTGGAGGAAGCATTATTATGGATTATAGACTCGTATTTTAGCTGGAAATATAAGTTAAACATGCCTTAATGATAGATTTGTTTGTTACAAACGCAGCTTTTGGCTTCTCAGGATGCTAACTGATGGACTGGAGTGGTGTGGATTACTTGTGGATTATTGTGATGTTTTTATCAGCTGTTTGGACTCTCATTCTGACGGCACCCATTCACTGCAGAGCATCCATTGGTGAGACACTGATGCAAACTCATCTACATCTTGGACGACCTGAGGGTGAGGACATTTTCAAGTAGTTTTCAAGTAGTCATAAACGGTGTGAAGGATCCAGCTTTATGCTTATGATCTGTTAAGATGTCGACTAATATCCTGTACGATCGTTCACTAGGATCTTTGTGCTGATCTTCAGACAGCGGGGAGACAGACAAATCAAATCACAGCACCATCGCACTCATCACCTGCTGATCGATCTGTATTACATTTGTCAAACTCTCTCTCTCTCCGTAGATCGGTGATGTGCAGATGCGGCCGGTGGAGCAAGTGTCGTAGGAACGGATGGGGATTGGGAACGGGACGACATGCAGTGGGCCAACACAAGTGGTGACTGGCGACACCTACTGAGCAAAAACACTTATAACACCTAGTTTTAAAGAACTGATTGAAGGGAATTGGTTTGGGTTTGCAGATCGGATCAAATCTGAGAAGGCAGCGCTGTGTGGCTCGATCTGACGCGACGCTCGGAAGCGTCGGAGAGCGAGATTACCTCCGTTTAAATTCACAGATGTACACAGTCTGCTGCTGTCTCAAATATAAGGGGAAACTTTCAGGCTTTTCTAAAAACACACAATGAACGAGGATTTAATGTGTGTTACTGTCTGATCCGGTCATCTGAGACCAAGTATACTGAGACCAGTGCGCCATGAATTGCACACATTTTTTTTGTTTGTTTTTTAGGTCATATTACATATCTGTTTGAGAGTGTGACGAATAGAAACAGTCGCTCGGTGCCAGTTGAGGTGATGTTAATTTTTTTATGAGTATTCTAACTTGAATTGTATGTAGATGTGGTTCTCATAGCGATCCAGCTACTGTTCGTTTGAAGCGCGTGGTTTTCATGAGAGAGAAACCCGTTCGACTGCAGTCACACTCCGAATCAGAAACCTGATGATAAATGTTGGTTTTTACATTGAGCTTTCACTGAATGAAAGGTAGGACACTGGCTTCTTTCATAGGAAAACGAGTATGTTGAGGACTTATAATACTTGAAATAATGCTTGATGTAGTCTGTTCTTACTGATTAAACTTGATTATGATTATTGGTTATGGATAAATTCCTTTCCTTTTCACTGTATGTCACCTCTACATCTCAAAACAATCCAAAACTATTTTTTTTTCTGTGTGTGTGTGTTTCTTTTCTATTAAAATCTTCATGTTGTTAATATTTGGGAAACTATACCCTTCATTTGACCAATGGAAGCTTCAATTAAATGATATGAAATAAATCAAATCCAGTACTTGAATATCATGAGACCTGTCCAGTTCACATTCACCAGAAAATTAAGATAATATTTTGTGACATTATTTTAATGACAATTAAGAAAATTATAAGACAATTCGCATTTCTCTAATAATTATAATAATAATAAAATCCTATTAAAATTGAGAATTTATAAATCATGGTATTATATGTTGTTTGCTTTTTTACCAATTTTATGTTTTAATGTACTTTTTAATGCAGTAAATATACTGTAATTACATGACATTTTTGTTGGTAGTATTTGTTTCACTGCCTTTAAAAAAAATATTTTCTTATGGTAATTTTTTAAAAATTCAGTACAATAAAAAAAGCACTTAATGTGTTTAATTGTAATTAAAATAATGTCACAATGAAAATTCTTAATGCTTTATGACATTATTTTCATTGCAATTAAGAATATTTCCCCCCCAATTCACAATACCATGATCCAAAAAAACCAAATCCTATTAAAATTGATTGCATGTGTTATGTTGCCTTTAAGGAATTTTTAATTTTTTTAAAATTTTTTTAACGTTTCCTTTGATTTGTCAACAAAAATACATTATATTACAAATATGCAATGTTTGTCGCAATGCCTTTATGCAGATTTTAATTTAAATAATTTTATTACAGTGAGTTTTTGTAATGTAAACAAAATGTGCTTAATTGCGATTAAAATAATGCCACAATGAAAAATCACTATGCTCCTAATAAGAGGCTTAATGTTCTTATTTCTTTTGGTTTTACGGTGAATGTGCATGCTTTCTTGAGATTCGCCCACTTGAATTGGGATCTTAGCCATAAATTTACAGCAGGTTGGGAACAAAGAACAAAGTCTTAATCTCAAGGTATTCTGAAATGTACCTGTTATAATGTATAAATCTACATCAACTATTACCAATGTTAACAGTATTTGGTTTGTATATTTTTAGCATGAGTTGATTCTGAATTCGCATGAATGTCAGCTTTTAATGCTTAACAAACTGAAGATGTACAATGTAAGGAGCTCCTGCTGTAAAGGAGAGCAAAGGGGCCAGTCGTTGAACGCATTGAGGGTGAAGTTCACTGCATGGACCCTGCCTGAGCGAGGGTTTTATCACATGTTGGACTGTCATTCAATCATCACGCCCATAAAGGTTAAACCAAACACCTGCTAATGAGAATAAAAACATGATGGGCACAAGAAATGACTCTATGCTCTTTTTTGTGTCTTTGACTGTAAAACAGAAGAGGTTAACAATCTTTAGTTTTATTGATATCAACATAAAACCCTATGTTCTGCAATGCATCGTACAGTAAACCGTAAAAGTCCTTGTTTTTTTCCAGGGGTATCTTGAATAATTTGTCAAATTATAGATATTAAAGTCTTAAACCCCAAAGTCACAGAACAGATGAATCCTATAGAGAAATACTTGATCTCCATTGATCCAGGAAATAATCCTTAGACGTGTCTCAGTCTGGTTTAGGCCTGTTGTAGTCCAGTTCATAAGTTAGTCTGGATTGGTGGTTTGTCAGATAGAAGTACGATGGAGCTGATGACAGCGATGTTGGGAATCCCCTCCAGAATGGCTCCTTTCTGCTGGTAATACGGGCTCTCGGAGTCCTCGTCCAGAGAAAACGGTGTGATGGACTTTTTTAGTCTCTGAGACAAAAGAAAGAAGCACAAATCTGTATCAGGCCTAAATATGTTTTTAATTGACAGGTTCTTTAAGTTCAAACAATCACTACAAAAAATCCTTTACACAAATAATTATAAAGAAATGGCAAGTAACACATTGAGTTACAATGAAATTTTGAAGTACAAAAACAAAATAATAGTATTTACTCCAATAATCGTTGTTTTATTTTTCTTCAGATTTTTTGTTTTAACCTGTACATCAAAAGTTTGGGGTCAGTAAGGTTTTTTTTTATTAATTCTTTTTTTAATTTTTTTTATTCAAACTATAAATGAATTCTAAATGACATATATTTAATAATATTCAATACTTAATTTTAATTAAACAATTAATTATTAATACAAAATGATGTCAGTATTTATCTTAAAAGGGTCATATGATGCTTTTTTAAAGATCATTATTTTGTGTATTTGGTGTAACAGAATATGTTGACATGCTTTAATGTTCAAAAAACACATTCTTTTGCCCCGCCTCTCTCAAACACGTAGTTTTCTACAAAGTCCCTCCTTCCGACAAGCGCAGTCTGCTCTGATTGGCCAGCTGACCCAGTGCATTGTGATTGGCTGAACACCGCAAGCATTCGTCGGAAATGTAACGCCCCTTACCATAATCACAGCTTCATCTTTCAAAATAAATGTAAAGACAGAGCCCGAAAGGGGAACAGAGTCGTGTGACAGACACAGTGATGAAGCTGGTATGTGTTTGTGATGTGACCCCCCCCCTCCCCCTCTCTCTCTCTCTCTCGTGCTCTCTCTCTCGCTCGCCCGCATTTGAACAGTCAATAGCAAATACTTAAACTAATAACAAAACAGTAGCTGATTCAGAAGCGCCAGATTGTCATAGTAAATTCAGAATTTCCTCCTCTCCTAGGTTCACGAAACGGTCGTCCATAAAATGCATTGCTGTTCTGTTGTAAGTAATCTTAAAGATTCCTAAATGCATCTACTTTCGGAAGACCAAATAAAGTGCTTTTGCTTTCGCCTAGAAACACACAGCGTCTCCCTGACATGCTGCTTCAACACTAACTGCGGTTACTGAAACCACGCCTTCTTTCTTTGTGTGCACATTTGGGCCGCATTATGCAAATATTTCCACATAGTGAGGTAGATATGTGGGGGCGTGGCAGAGTCTTAACTTTGATAAAGAATATCTCTTTGGTTTTGAGACTTTAGTCTTTGCAACTTCAGGGATCTTATCTATGCACAATCAGCTTGTAACACTCCAAAGAGAAAGGAACACTTGAAATCGCATCATATGACCCCTTTAATGAAATGATCTTGGCAAAATTTAAAATAGTTTTGATTGCTGAGTAAATTGCATTTGCAGTTTTGTTTAGAAATCCTTATGCAAATATGTTTTCTGCAGATCAGGGACTAAACAGCTATAATTATTATGCAAAATCAATCTTTTATTCAGCAAGGATGCATTAAATTGATCAAAAGTGACAGTGAAGACATTTATGTTACAAAAGATTCTATTTCAAATAAATGCCGTTCTTTTGATCTTTCTATTCATCAAAGAATCCTGGAAAAAACATGTATCATGTTTTCCACAAAAATGAGGCAGCACAACTGTTTTCAGCATTGATAATAATCAGAAATGTTTCTCGAGCACCAAATCAGCATATTAGAATGATTTCTGAAGATCATGTGACACTAAAGACTGGAGTAATGATGCTGAAAATTCAGCTTTGATCACAGATATAAATGACATTTTATAATATATTCAAATACAAAATAGCTATTTGAAATTGTAATAATATTTCACAATATTACTGTGTTTGCTGTATTTTTGATTAAATAAATGCAGCCTTGGTGAGCAGAAGAGACTTCTTTTAAAAGCATTACAGATGTTTCTGACCCAAACGTTTGAACAGATGCTTGTATCAATGGTTCCAGTCAATAACCTGACATTTCCCTTCCAAAGCATAAACAGAGAAGCTGTAAAGTACCTCAGTGAAGGATCCGGGCAGAAGCCAGAGCGTATGCACGGCTGCTAGAGGAATCCAGATGATGGAGGCCAAAGCGATGAGCCATCCCACACCCTGAGCCCACGCCGGGTAAACGTAATCCTCATACCGCGCTGGCTTAAACTGAATCACCGAGAACACCAGGATAACCTGAGAGACACAGAAACACCTTTCAGTTCTAACACTAATCCACGCTGGGGTTTCAGAACAACCACTGTGGCAGAAACATGTGATCGCACTCACGGTTATCAAAACAGGACAAATGACCCACCAGCAGACCCTGAAGAAAATGCTGGGTCTCTTTCCTGTCATCTCCAGTAAATTACTGGACAGACGCTTTACACCTGTTAAAACAAGAAATATAGCAGTTTTGTTCCATGCTTGATGAAACAGATCAAGAGCTGCACACTGTCTGTAGAAACAGACACAAATCAATCAGATGTCTGTCTCTCACCGTAAAGCCAACAAACAGCAACCACCTCAAAAAACGCCAGGAACATGATGGACACTATAGCTGTATAATGATCCATCAGCTGGAACACATAGATCCCCACCTGAGCAGAAAGATGAGCATTGACATTTTCAGGTTCATTAACTTCATCAAAATCTTTTTCATAAGCAGTGTTGTGGGTAACGCAAGTAACGCGAGTTACGTAATCAGATTACTTTTTTTCAAGTAACTAGTAAAGTAACGCATTACATTTTAATTTACAAGAGAATATCTGAGTTACTTTTTCAAATAAGTAAGCAAGTTACTTTTTTTTCCCAATTTATTGATTAACAGCTCTCCTGTCCCCATGTTGAGAGAAATCAGATGTTACTGTAGCTCTAAAATAAATATGAATATGCATTAATTCATCTCACTCACAAAAAAACTAAGAAAAACAGATTCAGTATTCCTCAAAATGAATCAAAATAATGCAACTCAGAGTATGACGCAAACCTGCCATTATTAAATGTTAAACAACACAAATATGCTTTATGTATTTAATCCCATTCTATCTGCTTCTGACCTTCGATGATCCAGTTCAACACAGCACAAATGACTCTAGACAAACATTTGTGTGTCTTTGTTTATTGCTGAAGTGTGTTGAAATCTTCTTCTGCATTCTACTGTACGGACGTAAATGTACTTTCCCTTCAGCCTGAGGCTTATTCATTTCACTTTTGGTGTGAAAGGCTTTTATATTTGCCAAAAATAGAACTTTTTTATTTTAAAAACAAA